CATACCCTCTCTCCTTCTTTCTCTTCCTTCCTTCCCCCTCCTCCTCCCCTTCCCTCTCCCCTACTCCTACTCTTCCTCTCCTCCTTCATACCCTCTCTCCTTCTTTCTCTTCCTTCCTTCCCCCTCCTCCTCCCCTTCCCTCTCCCCTACTCCTACTCTTCCTCTCCCTTCCACCCTCCTCCCCTTACCCCATTTCCTGAGGCACTCTACCTTGTTGGGATGTAACCTGAGGGCCTCTTGACTTTCAGAGTGGGCCTTGGAGCCCCCTGGGGTCTCTCTCGATTTGCATCCAGAGCTTACCTGTGTGCTGCTCTCTCCCCCCCCTCCCCTCCCCCTCCAGGTAAACAACACCAACCTGCAAGAGGTGCGGCACGAAGAGGCTGTGGCCGCTCTCAAGAACACCTCCGACATGGTGTACCTGAAGGTGGCCAAGCCAGGCAGCTCCCACATGAATGAGCTGTATGCGCCCCCAGACTACGCCAGCAGTACGTCCCTGCTCCCCCCCAATCCAGCTCAGGGCCCGGCTGGGATCTGGGTGGCAGCCGAGGGGGGAAGGCCGCCCCAGAGCATCAGAGGCTAAGCCCGGTCTCTCTCCCGCCTTTTGTCTCCCCAGCTTTCTCTGCCTTGGCCGACAACCACATAAGCCATAATCCTGGCCTAGGCTATCTCGGAGGCATGGAGAGCAAGCCCGCTTACCCTGCTCCCCCCCAGGTCACGCCTGCCCGCTACTCGCCTGTGCCCCGCCACCTGATTGGAGAGGAGGACTTCACCAGGTGAGCAGCGGGCACCCTTGCCGGGTCCAACAACATATAAGGCTGAGGAGGGGGCATCTGTCTCCCCCCACGAGGCCTCCCTTTTCTTCCTCTGGCGCACAGAGGGGGCTGGGGTCTCATACCCAGAAGCAGGATCCTTTCAGAGGGAAGGGGTGTGTGTGTGTGTGTGAAACCTTCCCCCAAAGCTGGAAACCCAACGGAGGGCAGAAGATCTGGGCTTGTTGTGTTTTGAAGCCAAACCCTCTGTACTGCCCCGGCTTTTCTGACGGCTGTCAGGTGTCCTTCTGGCTAGCCTCTGGCAGCCCCCATTAGGCAGGGAGTCCGTTGACACAGATGGGGAATCGAGGGGTGGGCTGGAGGGGGTGGCAATGGGGAGGGGGTTTGAACACGTAGCCCGCCTGGCTCTTTTCTGTCCTGGAGATGGGTGAGAGGAGGGCTCTGTGGGCAAAGGAGAAGGCAGACACTGGCATCAGAGGGGTTGGGGGGGGGGTCAATGCAAGCAGGCTTCCAGTGGTCACCCAACGCCTGGCAGCGCTGGCTCGTGACCACACGAGGGCGCTAACCAGACTGAGGCAGAGGAAGGCTGGCAGCCGATGCCTTGATCCCAACGTCCAGCGTGGTTTGCTGGCCTGCCGGAGGGGTCCCTCAAGGGGGCATTCAGGGGGCTGCCCTCTTGCCCACCGGATGCTCTACCCTGATGTCCAGCAGGCTGTGATTTGGGTGCCCCCAAGCCTAGCTACCAAGGGCCTCTGGGGCTCCTCCCTGCTCTTGGCTCTCTAGGGCAGCCTGCCTTCTGCAGAGCTGGCTGTGCAGGCTGAGCCCTCCCCCTCCTGCCTAACAGTCCCTCCTGGCTGGTGCCCAGAGGGAGGGGAGGGTTAAGGCCTGTGGCAGCTTCCTGGGCATCTGGATCATCTCAATGCTCTTGACAGGTCCGGCTGCTGGGAGGGGAGGGCGGGGCAGTGCGGGATAAAAGGCAGGCTGCCCGCTTCCCCCCACCCCAGAGATGCAGCCATCATGATCACGGTCAACGTCTCCTCCTCCATGTCCTACGGGAGGCAGGGCCCCCCACCGCAATCTGCCAGCCTGCACCAAAGAAGGATTCGGTATTCTCCTCCCCCCCTCTTATGTGCTTTCAGTTCAGGGGTGGGGGTCTCTGGACGCTTGATTCCATCCTGCCTGGGAGGGATGCACCGCTCTTGAAGTGCAGACCCCTCCCAAGCTAATTGGCAGGCGAAGTGAGGGGCACAGAGGGGGCAAGAATCTCGGAGAGGAGAAAATGGGACAGAGGCTGCTGGCTATGAGCCAGGAGAAGCTTGGAGGGTGTGGGGGGGGAATGAAGTGCTGGGGCTCCAAGGAGAAGAGCTGACCCTCCCCAATTCTCCCCCCTCCCCTTTTGCTCCTTCCGGGCATCAGCAGACCAGCCAAAGGCTCCCTTTACCCGGAATGTGGGCTCCAGGTCAACCTTGGACTGAATGTGGGGGTGCAGCTGACACGGGGGGGGGGGGTGGCTGGCTGACACCCACCATCTTGGGGTCCAGCCCCAGATGCTCCTGCCCTCCCTGACGGCTGCCCCTGTCTCCTCTTCCTCCTGCCAGGGAGCCCCGGAAGATCTCTCTGCACAAGGGAACAAGTGGTCTGGGCTTCAACATTGTGGGGGGCGAGGATGGGGAGGGCATCTTTGTCTCCTTCATCCTGGCCGGGGGACCAGCAGACTTGAGCGGGGAGCTGCGGCGTGGCGATCGGATCCTATCGGTGAGTGCCATGGGGGCCTTCTTCTGAGGGAGGGTGGGGGGGAAGAAGAGGGTGCTTTTGCCAGCTGCATGCTCCCCCCCCCCCCGAGGTCTCCTGGCCTCTTCTGGCCCTTCTGCCCAGCCATCCAGGGGTTAACCCGTTGGCCCATGCAGGGCAAGGCAGGGCAGGGCACCTCACCCAACCGGTCCGGCCTGGCTTAGCCCAGCCCCATTGCGAGGAAGCTGGCTTCCTCTTGGCCAGGGGAAAACAGTGCCGAGGCTCCCCGCAGAAATGGATCCTCCGGCCTGCAGCAGGCGGGTGAATCCCGGTCCTCGCCAGCCAGGCTGCCCTCCCGCCTTCCAAAGACCGGGGCCTGATTTTCACCAGGTCAGGCGCAGGCTCCTTGCCACCGCTCAGGGCCTGGCATAGTGTGCCAGCAGGAGGCTGCAGGCTTTGGGATGGGGGGGGGGAGTCCTGGGGAGGCCCGCTGCCAGGCGCCCAGCTTTGCCCTCCTGCTGACGGGCGGGTCTGTTTGCCAGGTGAATGGCGTCAACCTCCGGAACGCGACACATGAACAAGCGGCAGCAGCCCTGAAGAGGGCGGGGCAGACTGTCACCATCGTGGCCCAGTACAGGCCGGAAGGTAAGAAGCCTGCTGCTCTCGGAGGGGGGGGGGGAGGCTGGCAACACCACGGGTCAACTGGGTGGCAGGGCACCCTGGCTGCCCCCGCCTGGCGCCTGGCTTCAGCCCCTCTGCCAGGTTCCTTTCTCTTGGGTGGGTCAAGCAGTGCCGCCCCAGGTGGGTCCTGTAGGTGGGGAAGGGGACTCCCCAGTTGAGCTGGAGAGGCGCCTGCTGGCGCTGCCCTCCCGGGGTCTCTGGGGTCCCTGACCAAGGCCAGGCTGGAGCAGGGAAAGCAGCAGCGGGGGCTTCGGAATGGCCCCCCTCTCCTGCAGTCCCCAGGGGCTTCCTCTCCCTGCCAGCCGGGGACCAGGAGAGGGCCCGGGGGTCCACCGGGGACAGCCGCGGGGCCGTCAGCGCAAGCTTTCCGCGGTTGATGCGGCATCCCCGCCGCTCTTTTCCCCCCTTCCCCTTCCTGCGCGTTCGTGTGCATGGGAGGACACGCGTCGGCGCTGGGCAAAGAGCGAGCGGGCGGGCGTGGGCGGCGCTCTGCATGCAAATGAGATGCCTGGCCGGGGTTACCCGGGGATTATCGGCGCGTAGCGATGGGGCAGCGCGGCCGCCGATTGGTCGAGCAGGGCGCTGTCGTAGAAAAGGGGCGGGGCGAGAAGGCGTTGGGTAGAAACGGGGCGGGGCCTGCGCCTGTGTGGGGGTGGGAGACGCGGGGCTTCGAAACGCGGCGGCGATTGGGCCGACCTCGAGCGTGAGGGCGGACCGACTATGAGAGAATTCGGGCGGCGATTGGACGGGCGGGAGGGAAGGCTCGGCAGCGCGAAACCCGGTTGGTCGCCGCGGGCGGAGCCGAGCCCCGATTGGTCGGAGCCCGTCGCGAGGCCGCGCCTCCACCTTCCCGCCCGGGCCACCGGCCGGCCGGGCTTTGTGTGAGGACGGGGAGGCGGGGCGGTTGGCGGCGAGCAGGTGAGCGGGCGCCGGGCCGGGAAGTCCCGGGTGGAGCCTCCGGGGCGCGGCTCTTCCCTGGGGGGGCGGGGAGCCTCTTTCTCTCGCGACACTATGAATCGACCCCCTTCCCTCACGGGGGGCGCTTTTGAGGGGCGGGGGAGTCCCGGCGCCTTCTAGGCCTCCCACCTGTCGCTGAGGGGAAGGCGGGGGGGCGCGTCCGAGGGCGGGGGGGGTTGCAAAGCACCCTAAAGGCCCGGAGGCTGGCTGAATGGGGGTGCCTGTGAGCCCCTTCCTCTCCCTGGCTGGAGCCTGGCGCTTGGCGGCATCGCCCGGGAGCCTCGGGCCAAAGGGGGAGCCGGTGCCGGGGATCTGGCCAGGGGAAGGAGGGAGACTGGCCCATCGTACACTCCCAGACAGTGGAGGATTGAATCTTCTCTTCGGACAATGGTCCTTCGCTATTGGCATCTCTTAATTCTTTTCAGATGGACGTCTGAGGGAATTGCAAGCCTCAATGGTGAGGTTAGATTAGATCTGGGGTGTCCAAACTTGGGAACGTTAAGACTTGTGGACTTCAACTCCCA